AAAGGGGATGTATTTCACAACCTCACAGAACCAGAGGATGCTTGCTGAACTAAGTTGTTCAAATGTCTGACAGCAGCACCCTCCCAGCCGTGCAGAGCCCTTTCTAGCCCTTCTTGACTTCCTTCCAGGCTTAGAACTGCGACAGAGAATGAAGAAGTCTGAACTCAAGACAGATGCTGAGTGATGAGTGTGCCAGGTGTGTCTCACGCCAGCGCCCCCAGGAGTCTATCTCAGTGATTGCCATTTCGCTATGCAAGAAATTTAAGACAAAGTTCCCAGTTTCCAAGGGGTTGACAGTCTAATTGGGGGGATAATACATTTCAAACACTAAAGCTCAGCTTTTCAGACTGGGCGTAAGCCTGGAACATGATAATTCAACACAGTAAGAATCCAGGACTGATTTCATGTCGTGTAATGAACTGTGGGTTCTCAGGTGAGGACTCTAATGGCCAAAGGTTGCTGGCCCTTGGTAACACTTTGGATTGTAAATTGCTATCATGAGGAATCCTTAACCACACCTAATTTTTATGCATCTAAGGCTATGTTGCTAAAAAAGAAGTAAAAGTTCTGATAAAGACTCAATTAACTCTTATAGCATGATGGATATCAACCATAGGACAAAGAATCCAGGATTTGGGAGGATGATCAGAGACATACTATTTGCTCTGAGTTCTTGGAAAACTCACACAACCTCAGTGTCTATTTCACTGTAAAAGGGGACACACATTGTCACCCCCCTAAGACTGAGGAAATCAAAGCTATTATTCCAGTGTTAGAGTTCTTGAGTTAGGACATAATAATTCAGCTGTTCAGTTTTTTTAAAGCACATGACAAAGTCCTGAATGTCAGAACTTTCTGAAACATTTACATCATTTTTCATTCGTGAAGAGGGCAGGTCAGTCTTCTGCCATATTTAATAGTACTAGTATCAAAGGGCTGTACTCAACTCTCGGAAATGTTTCAGGTCATAATTATTTAAATCTCAAAGCATTTATCTGCAACTAACACGGACGCACTATGCTAACACCTGACTACCTCAAGAAGTCAACTAAAAATCATCACATTTAGGGCTGAACTCAGGGAATTAAATGCCCTGTCCAAAGTTATACAGCAGAGAGAAGGCCAGAAGGTGTTGAGACTCTTCTATGCAGTGGTGACCTTGAGTCTTGGTCATCTTTGTCCATTTCACATGACCTCTTAGGACAATGTCTCCCACACAGTGGGTGTCCACTTAACTTTTGCTGACACCACCCAGGTTTTTAGAAGGTCACCTGACGCTCAGTTTGATATTTTAGTTCAGGTATACCATATGGACAAAATTCCTTTCCGCTAACATAATGAAAAAGGCTTCATAGAGCACACTAACCGGAGATGACTGAAGGGCTGAGCATCTAGAATGTGAGAACTGCAAGGGGAGACTGGATGGAGCCTGCAGTGCACTCGCTCTAAGGAGACCAAGACTCAAAAAGCATGCAAAGGGAGGGGACACAGGTGAGGGGGGGCTAAAACTGTTCCAGCAGGGAAGGCAGAGTGTTTGAGGTTTGGGAAGGACTACTAGGAGAGGGCTGCCGAGCGCCCGGGGTCTAGGGTCTCCGTCCCCGCTGCCTGGGGGTTGGGAGCGGCCCGGGTGGGGCCTTACCCGGACGTCTGGCCCCTCCACCAGCCTGAGGGCCTGCGCCTCCAGCAGGTCCGCCCGCAGCTGCACCAGGAAGCGCACGCCGCCGTCCAGCTTGCTGATGTGATGGAAGAGGCCGCGGTAACGGGGCACCAGCGCGTAGCGCAGCCGGTCCTCAGCATGCAGCAGCACGGCCGCCTCCCGCTGCTGCTGGCGCAGCTGGAGCAGGCTGGCGCTCTGCTCGGCCACCTGGCCATGGTCCACGCCGAAGTCCCGCGCCAGGCGGCCCAGCAGCTCGGCCCGCTCGGCCACCTCGGTCAGGCCGCCGTAGAAGCACACGAAGTCCGCGCACTGGCTCTCGGCGGGCGCCGGCGTCTTCTCGCGCAGCTCGTAGACCGGCGTCGGCGGCACGGCGCGGCGCAGCAGCTCGTCCATGGCCCGCTCCAGGGCACCGGCCGCCGCCGCCGGCCCGCTGGACAGCCGGGACCCGAGCGGCCGTGGCGGCCGCAGCGGGGGACGCAGAAGTAGGAGATACCTCGCCGTCAGACCTGGCCCGAAGCCTCGCATGGCGCCGAGCGACAGCTGTGGAGGGGGCGCGCCGGCGGCGCGGCCGCGCTCCGAAGTTCCGGCTTCCGGCTTCCGGCGCGCGCCGTCACCATTGGCCGAGGCCGAGGATGGGTGGGGCGGGAGGGCCAATCGGAGGACGGAGCGGCGGGGCGGGGCGGCGGGCGAGGTTCAGGCGTGCGGCCGCTGGCCAAGTGTGGCCAAAGGTTCTGGCTGGGCAGCATCCGGGTTCTCCTTCCAGCTCAGCAGCCGCCTTGGCCTCCTGTCTTGACACCTGGAGACACCCCTGTCTCAGTCCCTTTCCTTTCCCCACCGCACCAGCGCCTCCTCCACCCTCCAGGTGCCTCAGTCACCTGGGACCGCGTTTGCACGTGCGGACTTCTTTTCTTTGAGAGTCAGATTCTGGGAGTCTGGGAGGAGCCCAGGAATCTGCGCGGTACAGAAGTGTTTGCAGTAATCCTCTGGCAGGCTTGTGTGTTTTATCCCTGCCTGGTGTTAACACTTGCATACCAATGCGGGGGGTCATAGACTGACCCTACCCATGTTTTGTTTTTATCTGTTGTCCTGCATAAACAAATATACAAAAAATTGGTGGGGGCAGTCCTTGACGTCCCCTCCTCCCCCTACACACTTCACTTTGGGAAGCAACACAGGGTACACGATAATTCCTGTGATGTCAGGTTCTAAATAAGTAAATAATCGCATACTTTATAAATTTGGAAAGAAGAGCTTTATCCTATCAACGGTTACAACCTGCAAGGTGGCCATTCTGACAGTCTGGGAAGCACAGAAGCATGAAACAGGCACTTCCAGGAAGGAAATGGTAAGACAAGAATTTAATCTAAAAGGACTGGCCAAGTATACATATTCAACAGATTGCAACAGGAGCTATGCATATTCATGAAGATGGGTCTTAATAATGCTTGTTCACCTTGGGTAGAGACTTAACATTTAAATGTATTACAGTTAGGCCCTATACTTTAACGCGTCTCTTCAGGACTCAAATGCCTACAAGATCAGTCCATAGTTGGTGATCTCTTCAGGAGAAAGTTACTAAAATCAATCTCTGGTCCAATCAAGGCTGTAGTTATTTATGTCTTGTGGAACAGGGGAATAGGGTCAGACTCTGGTGAAACTGCAATCATTTTAAT